CATACTAGGAAGCTACATATTAAATATTATTCAAAATCTAAGCTTTTGCTTAAATGGTCATTAATAAATTTAAGAAAATCTCTTGTTAAATTTACTCTGCCTGAATTTTTATATTAAAATTTGATGGGAGAAAAAAATATTAGAAATACGTATTTAATAAAAAAATAATAAAGAAATTTTTTAAAATTTTATTAAAAATTTTTTTAAAAGGCAAATAAAATTTCATTTTGATTTTTAATCATTTTTTTATTCTGCCGTCAATCTCCCTAATTAACCTGCCAGAAATATTTGAAACGGATAAGACTGCTTCTAAATAAATAAATTTAACTTTTGAACCTTGATTTATTAAAAAATTTTATACATCTGCTTTGAATTTAAATTGTAAGTCAAAAACTTCCTCTAATATAATGATACGTCGAAAATACTAAATAAATAAGGTAAATCCGTCCATGGCATAGGCAAAAATTAAAAAAATTTTTTTAAAAGCATAGGCAAACAGCTTTTAAAATTTGTTTTGTGAATGAAACCTATACTACTATCCAAGACATCGTTTCTGTTGGGTTTGGCTTTGCGTCGAGTTTTTATTTTAACTTTTTTACCACTAATTTGGTACGCCGAAGATTTGTGACCAAAATTTGTGATCCCAAAATACCTTAGGATCAGTTATTTGAAAAATTTGCTTAGAGCTGTTTCACTGAAAGAATTTGGATTTTAAGAAATTTTAAATTAAAAGTTGCAGAATGTAATTAGAGATTGTTTAAGCATTTCAAAGATTTATGTCCCTTATCATTCAAAATTGGGTTCCAAAATTTCTTATTAATTTAATTGTTTTAAGAACCGAATGTTTTCTTATGTATTCGTCGGTTTCAACTCTTGGTACTTGTCAATGTACTAATTTTTATCTAAGAAACTATGATATCAAAGGTGGTTCAGTCTCTAAATTAAAAACTATTGGCTATTAAAGACTAGAGTTAAGCGGTATCGGGATTTAGAGAAAAACCCGAGATCGGGATTTAGGAATGGTGATCCCGATCCCGGATCCCGACACGGGATCGGGATTGGCCGAAATCGGGATCGGGATATGGATTGGAGATCCCGATCCCGGTCCCGATCCCGAATCGGGACCGGTATTGAAAAATCGGGATCGGGATTTACTAAAAAAAATTTTTTTTTTTTAATTTTTAAATTTTTATTTTCTTCACATACGACTCAGTATAATTCTAAAATTGCCACTGCGGTGCTAAAATATTGAGTTTAAGTCTATACTCCAAATCCACGGATACTCCTCTCAATCCCTCTTGATCCCTCGATATCACACCAAATCACTCAATATTTCGTTAAAGTTGTAAAGACAGCTTTGTTCATTTTTGCGGCGAAGCAGGCGAAAATTTTGAGAATTTTGGACGTCAAGCTGCCAAATTTCTTCCATTTTTTGCGCCGCAGGCGAAAATTTTGATAATTTTGGATGTCAAGAAGCCAAATCTCTTTTCTTTTTCGCGCCGCAGGCGAAAATTTTTCTCACTTTCACGCCTCCACTCTTCTGTTAACTTTATTTCACAGACTTCTATTCAATTTATTAAGTCGGGATTTGCATCGGGATCTGATGCACATCCCGATCCCGATCCCGGATCCCGGCTCGGGATTGAGATTGGCCGGGATCGGGATCGGGATATTCATTTCGGGACCGGGATCAGAAAAATCGGGATCGGGATTTGAAAAACCCGGGATAATCCCGCCCGATCCCGACCGGGATCCCGATCCCGCTCAACCCTATTAAAGACACGAAGATTGTTAATTTTCTAAGGCACGAAACCAAGGTTATGTGTTCAAAATATTGCAGATTTTTGTATTTTTTAGAACTTTTTTTTGAAATAATTTTCGTAATTTTCATTCAACTAAAAAAATTAATTAATTTAAATTTAAAAGTTTTTAAAAAATATTTTTAATCAGATGATTTAATCAATTCCCCTATACTCATAATTACCAGAAAATATTACAAAACTAACTCCATACAATTCAATAAACTATTAGATAGGTTTAGATTGACTCAATTAACGCTAGATCCCCTAGGTTATGCCAATTGATCCTAGAGTAGGTCCTCGGCCATTTTCAAACCTTGACACCGATTTTGCTGACCTCGGGCCTCGGAACCTCGACCTCGGCCAAAATTTGCCCCTCGACCTCGATCTCGGCTTTTCCAGCCTCGGTGATGCTCGGTCTATGTTTTTTCAAATAACCTTGACCTCGACCTACTCTAGTTGATCCCATTGTCTTATACACGTTATTTTATTTTATTTTATTTGTTTTTCCATTCACGTTACAATTACATTTATTTGTTACAACATTTAACGGCTCAATGGCAGATAAATTACTATAATAATTAAAAAAATTTATTTTTCAATTAACACTAAATAAAAAATTATTTTTTATCACAAATTTAAAAAAAGTTTTCACATAATTAAGAAATAATTTTTGAGTAAACAATTATCAATATATTTTATAAATAAGAAAACAACATTAATAGAGTTGGCGTATACTAGTGATGATCGGGAGTTAAAAAAAGCCGAGAGTCGAGACCGAGAGCTCAAAAATCCGAGAAATTTCCCGATTTGAGAACCGAGACCGAGAGTCTCTACAATCACTAGCGGATACGGATAGAGTGAATTCAAAAAAGTCCGGAGAGCCGAAGATTTCGATTAGAGCCTGGGCTAGAATTCAACTACAATAATCGAGATCGAATTTAGGAAAAGATCGGTTCGATAACCAATATTTTTGTTCGATATCTACTAGTCTGATTCGATCTCTAATTTGAATTTCTCAGGATATGCCAACCCTGTTGATAATACAATGTATTTTTCAGAGTACCATTTTGTTGAAGAAATAAAATTTTTTGAAGCGCAAAATTTTTTTTAGTTTACAGGATCTTCTCTCCAAATAAGCAAAAAATATTAATTAAATTAACACCCGATAGTTTTGATATATTTTTTCCATTTACTATATTCTTCTTCAAAAACATCAGCCTTTAAGTAAAAATAAATTTATTAATAAATCAAGTCTTCCGAACTTGAATTTATATTCGAAAAATAATAATAAAACTCATTAAAATTTTTATTTTTATCAAAGAAAATTGTTTTAATTTTATTTTTTAAAATATTTTATATTAATATTTTATTTATTTATATTTTATTTTTTAGTATTTTAATTCATTTTTCAACTAAATTTCATTAATCTTTTTATGAGTTAAAATCCTTTCATATAACGAACTCGACTGCTAAATAGAAAGTTCGTTATATTAAGATTAACTCCTTTTATTAAGTAATTAATCTACCTTTATGTGAGTATATAATTTTCCATAATTAATAGATTCCACCCTATAATTTAAATTGCTGAACCCATCTGTTAGGTACTTTTGTTTAGTGAGGCCTATAAGTTTAAATCGACATCTAGAAAATAAATTTTGATAAGCGAATAATTATTATTCTAGAAATATTTTCTACAAGTCTATCCACTAGCTGTTAGTGAAAGTTTTTCTTAGAAAAGTCCAATCAAAATCTCGATATAGGTACAGATTTATGAGATAATTTTTGATCAATGTAGGGTAGCTCCCCACCCCGGACGATTTTTTGGTAAAAACCCCGACCCGAAGCCCAAATGCTCTACCCCACATACCCCGATCCACGACACAAACACCGAGGGTTGAGGTAAAACATACACCCTAGTTTTGATCATCAATGATGGGTATAAGGCGTCTTGTGATTTCGGCACTTGGTATTTCAAGATCCTAGCACCGGCTCCGGTCGAACCTTAAGTCTTACAGTATTTTTCTTAGCTAGTATGTTTTTTAAGAATAAAATGGATGTTAATAGAAAGGAAAATAAATTAATAATTTACATGAAGCATATTAATTAAAAAGTAACTTACGGATGAGGATCATTTCCATGATCTGTTCCATGTTTAAATGTTCTAAACCGAGAAACTTCAGTTTTATTTCTCTGAAAACTCATATTGGCTAATTTTACTCTAAAATTATATTTTTATTTAAAAAATATCATTCGAAAACACCTTGTGTTAAAATCATCATCTTCTCCGCCCCACCCCCAAAAATCGTTTGAATATCCATTAATTTTTCTGAGTTGGTCTACTGTTAGTGCCAGAACGCCGCCAACGAAATCGCCATATAACTCTCTAATAATTAAATCAAGTTACTATTAAAATAACAAAATATTTATTTACTTATATCCACCCCTTTCAAGATAAACACTCAAATGTCTAGCCACTTTCGGATCTGTTGAGCATCTATATAAAAGATTGTCATTCTCTGGATATGTATCAACATCGTTAAATACAATACAATCAAATGGATAAACTCTCAAAGCCTTAAAAAATAAAATACTAATGCCTGAACTGATTATAAAATAAACGTCCATGGGGCTTGGGGCTTAAAATAACCTAATTAGGAGATATCACTATGATCCCCCCTCCACACAGTTGTCAACCAAATTAAACTATGCCTCTTAAATTGAGATCTCTGGATAAATTGAGAAGTATCTTGGGACAATCAAATTGATAAACTCTCAAAGCCTTAAAAAATAAAATACTAATGCCGGAACTGATTATAAGATAAACGTCCATAAAGCTGAAAATGTATATCTCATAATGAGATACTTAATTGAAAGGTATCACATAGATCCTCCTCCCCTCCAAACCCAGTTGTCAACCAAATTAAAAAATGCCTCCTAAATTGAGAAGTATCTAGGGATAAGTTCTATCCTATGCTAAGGTCCGTCTAAAGAAAAACATTAACCTCCAAAACGCCAATATTTGTTAATCTTCCTTTATTAAAGGCAAAATCTCCAATTTGTTCAACAACAAATATTGCATAATCTAATTGTTGTTTTTGTAAAAACCGATGAATATTATGAAGAAATGTTCGTAAATGAGGTTCTCTATTTCTAAAATATTTTTTTGTTCAAAAAATATTTTTGTTTTCAATATCTAACCTATAAGGCACAACAATAGCAACTTTCTGCCTGGATTTACATTCTTTAGGTCTCCAATGCCCACCAGGCCACAAATCTTTATATTCTTCCTCAATTTCTTCCAATTTTAGAGAACGCATATCTACATCTATTTTGCCTTTTAGATTTGGAGGGATTTCTGGACAGAGTGTTAAATTGTCCTTTAAATATATTATACATACTTGAATTTTTAAATAAAATATTTATTAAATACACAATCGTACTTCATTATGAAATTTTAAATTGAATTCCACATAAGAAGGGAGCTTCTTAGACGATTGCCCCTATTTAATAAAGGGCAATCGTTAAGGAATAAAATTTTTCCATCTCCAATTGTGTTGTCGGATCCGTATATCCGTATCTTAAAAAGGGCGGATATCCGTGAATTTTCGTTTCAGATATCGAATCCGGATATACGAGGATTCCGGATCTATCCAACAACCCTAACTCCAAGGCTAACCAAAAAGTACATATTTCCATTGTAATCCAAGCAAAAATTTTACTTGTTTTACTCTCCAAAGTTTTGCTATATGGATAAGTTGAGGATCATTATTATTTTCTGTTTTTGTTAGCTGATTTAATAATATATTCTTCGGTGTAGCTATTGTAGTACTTTCTGTCTTATTTTGTTTATTTTCCTTTTTAATTTTTTCGCTACATTCTTCACTCCTAACTTCATTTTTAACTTCAAATTTATCCTTTTCTTCATCCTTATTTTCTACCGTCCCTTCAAGTTCACCTTTATTTTTTCCATTATTCCCCATTTTTTGAGGTACTTCTTCTTCAATTTTTGATTTGATTTTAATTAAATTTAATTTTGCTATTCTCCTCAATTCAACTCCATTAATTATATCATTTAATATATAAGCTGCTATTAATGCTGTTATAATTATTATTAACCCTTTAATTAATGTTGCCCTATTTTTAAGGTTAATTGTGCTTGGTGAATTTATGGACATTCAAATACACACTAAATTAAATAAAAATATTTTAAAAATAATTATCTAAAATATTGAAAAAATTATGGTGAACATTTAAATAAACGTACAGTATTTTCGCGATTAATTCCCCTGGGTAATTATTTTTCAACCCCTCCTTGGCATGGGCAACTAATCGAGTGAGGGGAAGTATGAGAGTTTAGGCATTTGAACGTTCAGTAGGGTATTTTGGAGAGGAAGATTATTGTTTCAGCCCAACTCTAGCACGGGGAATTAATCTAGAAAATACGGTATTTGCCAGTTAAGACATGCAAGGTGTTCGAAAATAATAAATGAATATATTTTTGGTCAAATACTTTTTCTTCGTCTCTAGGATATTTACAGGTAGATATTAGTGTTTCACCGGAACCGAAATTTTGACCGGAACCGGAACCGGAACCGGATCCAATTTAAGTTCCGGTTTCCGGAACCGGAACCGGAACTTTTCTAAGTTCCGGCCCAGAACCGGAACCGGAACTTTGAAAAAATTTTTGCTGCAAATTTTAAAAAATTTTTATTTTAAGTAGGGGTGTAGGTTTCCCCAAATTCTTAGATTAAATTCTGCCAAATTCTTCCGTTAATCGAAACCGAGCTGAATAACCGAACCGAAACTCTGGTTAACCAAAACCGAACCTAAAAACCGAACAGAACTACCCAAATCCCCTGATATGCTCGATACCCCACCAATTTCATGATATCCTTTGATCTCCGAATTTCTTCTAATTATCCTTAATCCCACCAGATCCCTAAATAGCAAATCACCTATATACCATTATAACTATTGATACATCGAAATCCCCAAATGTCACTCCAAATCTCCATTAATTCATGCGAATTTTAAATTATACTATATTTATTCTTCTTTTTTAGCGTCGCAGGCAAAAATTTTGATAATTTAGGAAGACCAAGTGAGAAATTCCAAGTTTTGGAAGGCCAAATCCCCAGGTATCCAATCCCTGGTATCTCCTTGCACAGCTCAATCCCTCGACATCACACCCAAATCCCTCTATATTACCTATGACCTCTTGAACTCACATAATGTAACTTAAAATCCATCTTCATCCATCCAAATCCTCAGATATACCAGCCAACTTACAAAAATTTTGGGATTTTAGGTGACCAAGGATACATATTTCTTCCTTTTTCAGCGCCGCAGGCGAAAATTTTGAGAATTTTGAAAGGCCAACCGGTGAAAATATTGCAAGGCCAACCCATATTTTTTCAAAAAACTAATCCTTAGGGGTGTAAAAAAGTTCCGGTTTGCCCGGAACCGATTTGTAAACCGGAGCCGGAACCGGAACCGGAACCAATTTGAGTTCCGGTTCCCGGAACCGGAACCGGAACCAAAAAAACACCGGAACTTTCCGGAACCGGAACCGGAACCGGAACTTCCGGTGAAACTCTAGTAGATATACATAAATGCTGAAAAAAGTTTTTATTTTTAAAGACTTTTATAAAATATTTATAAAATATTAAAAACAAAAAAACCTCTGATTTTTCAAAAGGTAATTCAGGTGGATTTTATATGTAAATACATAGACCCTTGGGGAGGGAAAAGTTGAATAAAAATGGGAAGATCCAGTTTTTTTCCTGGTTTTAAAATAAACACCCCTATATTTGAAATAAAGAAATTGAAATAATATGAAGGATAAATTTGAATTTTATTTAAAAATTTAAAATACTAATTTAAAAATATTAACAAAAATACATAAGATTCTACAAAAGTCAGAACAAAAGGATATGTCGGAAATCTGAGATTGCACAAACTTTCATTTTTAAAATTTTTTAAATTAAAATATGTTAATCAATTAAAAATTATGGATTATTAAATTGAATTTTAAATAAGTAAAAGTTAGAAATATTTAAAAAAAGACGAAGAAAATTTAGTATAAAATAAAAATTTTTATCGTGTTGTCAATTTATAAATTTCTGCCAATTTTAAATAATTATATTTAAGAGAGGCTTAAATATAAAAATCATTTTTTTAAATTTTGGAACACCTGCCTTTTATATTTAAATGAAAAAAATTTTTAGAAATTTAAAATGTTGCCCTTTTTTAGCTTTTTTAGCTTTTTTAAATATAGACTTTGCATATTTTATTTTTTTTACGAAATTTTTATCAGTAAAATTGTATCGATTCAATTGATAAAATTGTTTATTTGAATCTATTAAAGTGTTTAATTTTGATTTTGAAATTTTTTTTGATTTAAATTTTTTTAAATTTCCCTTTTTTACTTTGTCGTATAAAAAATTCAAAAAATATTTTTAAATGTAATAATAGAAAAAATGCAAATTAGAAGAATTTGAAATGATTTGTCAGTTCAAACTCTTCTCGAAAAATCGACGATTTATTGGATTGAAATTTTTGAAAACCAAAAATTGAACTAGTGATCATAATTAGGGTTGTCGGTTCCTGTAAATTCTTCGGATATCTGAAAACAAACCAAGAACAGAAAATCTTCAGTTCTTCGGTTCAGTTCGGTTCAGAACCGACAACCCTAAAAACAAAAAGATAATTAAATGTTAAGCTGTTTATTTATCAAACACAAAAAATTTTATTTTAAAATTTTAATATAATATTTTAAATAAATTTTTTAAATACTTAAAAAGTTCTAATAGTAAATATGTAAACAAATAAAAAATTTAACAATTCTAAAAAAAATTTTTTTTCAAAGGTAAAGCATAAAAATTTTATTATGTTCAATAAAAATATAAAATTATAAGAAAAGTGTGATGATAAAAAAAATTTTTTTATTAATTTTTTTTGAATTTTTTTTCTTTTTTCGATTTTACAAAACCGTTTAAAGCAAAAAAATTTAAAAATCAATGAAAAAAAATTTTTTTTCGATTTATTTAAATAATTAATAAATGAATGAAAACAAAAAAAGCAATATTTAATGGAAAAGCAAAATTCAAACAATAAATGGAAAGATAAATGAGGAAAAAAGTAAATTAATAAATTTGGAATGAATCACTAAATAGTTAAAAAAATAAAAATGGAGACAAACAAAATTTTATCTAAAAAATATTTTTAAATTGTTTCGTAAATATTTTTTTAATAATTGATGATAAAATATGTTTAAAATTAAATTTTAAAATAGAAATTAAAAAATTGAAAAAAATTTGGAGTAACCAATTTCTAAGGCATAGAATAACATGTTTATCACAAACGTAAATAAAAGATTAATGAAGGTGGCAACACAGTAGTATAAGATAACTAAGGATCAGAGGTGTTTTTCAACAAAATATTTAAAACACTAGTAATTTTAATCCCAAAATTAAATTTTGATTTTTTATTAGTCTTTTAGGTACCTGAGGACAATATTTAAACGATAATTTTAAAAAAATTGGGGTCTAAAAGGAGAAAACACAAAAATAGTGGTGGAACTGTAGTTATGTGGAGCACTGTAAATTGGAAGAGCCGGAAATCGGAACTGGCTCAATAGTCGGAACTCGGAAACGGAAATCAAAATTTTTTTTCGGAAATCGGAAGGAAAAAACATCGGAACTCGGAAATCGGAAATAGGAAAATATCTATATTTTATTTCATTATTGGTATCATTTTTGGGCGGATTGAGAAAAAGTCTGGAGGGTTTTCGAAAATTTTTCGGGTTGGGGTTCTGTTGGGTATGTGCTTAGTATAAAAGGCTACGGCTTTAGCCATTCGGGGGTTAGTGTCGGTTAGTGTCTGTTAGTGTTATTCTTAGTCTTATTCTAGTGCTCCACATATTCGGCGTCGGCCATATTCCTATTGTTCGTTACTATTGTATTTAGTATTGTAGATAAAGCAAAGTTTGTTAGTCTGTCTTATCTTGTTATTCTTGTTAGTACGTAGACATAGAAGTCACGTACAAAATGGTTCACGCCGATGATTCCTGATTTTCTATAAACTTAGAAAAGTTTAAAAAATTTTAGGGCTAGGCACAATGCAAATGGCGTGAAATTGCGTGTTTTTTTTTGACTTGCGGATTTTAAAATTAAAATTGCGGTTTTCGGCCGTGGAAATTTTTTTTTCAATTTCGTCCGGTCATGGATTGGATTTTTTAGGAAATATTTTTTAAATATTTTTTTGAATATTACTAAAAGTATCAAAAATAAAATTTGTTTATTGAGGGATTAAAAGAATGCGAAATATTGCGATATTAAGTCTTTACATATTTATTTTTTGAATTTATTTTTTCGGAATTATTTAAGAATGTACCCTATTCAAATAAATAATTTTACTCAGAAAAACAAAAAAATTTTTTTATAAAAATTAAAGACAAAAATTAATTTAAAATATTATTTGGTTACCGTATTTACTCGATTAATTCCCCTCTTTTGAATAATTCCCCTCACTTGAATAATTCCCCTCTCTTGATTAATTCCCCTCCCTCGATTAATTCCCCTCTCTTGAATAATTCCCCTCACTTGAATAATTCCCCTCTCTTGATTAATTCCCCTCCCTCGATTAATTCCCCTCTCTTGAATAATTCCCCTCACTTGAATAATTCCCCTTGCTATGGATGAGTTGAAACAATAATCCCCCACCCCCAAATACACGTTCAAATTTCAAAACTCGAATAATTCCCCTCCTTCGAATAATTCCCCCTGCTACGGATGAGTTGAAAATATAATTCCCCAGGGGAATTAATCGAGAAAATGCGGTAATTAAATATTTTTTGAAAAAATAAATTAAATTTTAAAGGCACAAAAAAATTATTTTTTAATTTTCATGACTAGAATGCTTCTCTCCCAATCACTCCAAATATCAACACCCAATAGTTTTAATATATTTTTTCCATTTAACATATTCTTCTTCGGGAATAATTGCCTTTAAAAATAAAAAGTTTATTAATTAAATAAGTGGCCGGATCAGAAAAAAATTTTTATTTATTAGTAGGGCGTGTCAAAATATGCACGGAAAATCCCATAATATGCACACATATATGCACCGAAAACTGGATATGCACTCAAAATTGGCTAAATTCACTAAAAATTTGCCAAAATATGCACGAAAGTATCGAAATATGCAAAAATATGCATTAAGAACCGGGTCCTAAAGTCCTCGGACCGATGTAAAAACAACATTTTTGATCGTTTCAGCTCATGGCATATCCGCATGCAAAATTGCATTTGCATCTTTTGACACTCCTATTTATTTTCTAAATTATTTAGTCTACTTTTTAAGGATTTTTCTTATCTGAGGAGCTGTAAATTCGATAGATAATCTCCAATTTTACAATTTTTTCCATTTTATAACATTCAATCTACCTTTATGTGTGTATATAATTTTCCATAATTAATAAATTCCACCCTATAATTTAAATTGCTGAACCCATCTGTCAAGTACTTTTGTTTGGTAAGGCCTAGAAGTTTCCTTCGACATCTGAAGAAATTTTTTTTATTTTAAATGTACATATTTCTAAAATATATCCACATTTCAATAAATTTTAGAATTTCTGAGCTATAAGGGTTTCCCACTCCCAAATCTATCGAAAAATTTATTTGATGTGAGATGGAAAAAAGGGATGTCCGGAAACAGAGATTAGGGTTGGGGCTTTCAAGTCGGGCCGAAGTTTGAGTCATTTTTTTCGTAGGTTCTTTTTCGGGCGGGCCCAACCGAGTTTTTTTCAGGCCAAAATTCAATGCCCGACTAGATCCTTCGGACCGGGCCTTTTTTTATATTTTTTATCTTTCGCCCCAACCCTTATCTAGCCGACATAAAAATGAAATTTCCGATTTCGTGAAACTGGGAAACAGATTGTCTATGTAGATCCAGGGTCTCTAATGGTAGAACTTAAGTTGGAGGAACAAAAAAAAGAGAAAAAGGGATGTCCGGAACAGAAATTAGGGTTGGGGCTTTCGAGATCAGATTCGTTATGTAGACCCATGTTCTCTACAAAAATAACTCAAGGAAAAAATAACTCACGGATCGGGGGCATTTCCACTATCCCTTTCGTGTATGGTATTTCTAAAGCGAGAAATATTTGTTTTGCTTCTTGTAAAACTCATATTGGCTAATTTTACTCTAAAATTTTATTTTTTTATTTAAAAACAATCTACTTCAAATACCTTGTATTTAAATCATCATCTTCTGCCCCCCATCCCCAAAAATCATTTGAATATCCATTAACTTTTCTGATTTGCTCTACTGTTAGGGCTAGAACACCGCCAACATATTCTGCGTATCTCTCTCTAATAATTGGTTAAATTAATAAGATGAAGGTAATTCAGAACAAAATTAATCCTGAAACACCCTTGATTCCAAAAAAACCCCAAACCTTTAATACTGATTAGAAACAGGAGGTTTTAAGTAGACGCTATGGAGCACCCTCTAGTTTGTGTTTACATAAAATTAGCGATTAACGCCTTGCAGTTTTTATTTTTACAAATCCCCTCAATTTCATGTTAAACTTATTCTTAGCGTTTGCCACCTAAGTCATCGCAAATTTAAGTAAAGGTATCAATTGGGTCATTTTGACCCTATCCGTCGTCTAAAAGTTAATAAAATATTTATTTACATAAATTTAGCCCTTTCAAGGTAAACACTCAAATGTCTAGCCACTTTTGGATCTGTTGAGCATCTATATAAAAGATTGTCATTCTCTGGATATGTATCGACATCGTGAAATACAATGCAATCAAATGGATAAACTCTCAAAGCCTTTAAAAATAAATTTTCTGGGTTTATGTATTATGCCTATAAAACGGAAAGATGAAAATGATTTTCAAAAATTAAATTTCGGCCTAGAAAGAATATTTTTGCTTATTAAATTTGGAAGAATATGAATATCTTAGCGGCTACTCCCAAAAAATTTATTTAGCCACATCCGTTAATAATATCCAATTTAATCTAACTTTATCTCATTCACTTTTTATATGACAAGGAATCGTCGTTTACTGTCAGTGCGAATTTGATATTTTTGGTACCATTCGATAGAGGACCCTCGACTTCCTATTGTGACCAGACTTGCTCATGGATACGGATACAGATAATTTCAAAATGCCTGCGGATATCCGTCTGTATTCGCCGTAAATATGCGGATACGGATACCAACATCAGTATCCGTGAGCAGGCTTGATTGTGACATGATAGCCGTTTTCACCGTATTCACAATAGGAAATCGAGGGTCCTCTATCGAATGGTTCCAAAAAACTATTAAATTCGCATTGACTGTAGATGATGGTTCCTTGCGAGAAAGTGTCGTTTCTCGCCACTAATATTTTTTATTTTGCCCTTCCCTGGCATTTAAAATTAAATTTCTACCTCCAAAACACCAATATTTGTCAGTCTCCCCTTATTAAAAGGTAATTCATCTCCCATTTGTTCAACAACAAATATTGCATAATCTAATTGTTGTTTTTGTAAAAACCGATGAATATTATGAAGAAATGTTCGTAAATGAGGTTCTCTATTTCTAAAATATTTTTTTGTTCAGAAAATATTTTTGTTCAATATCTAACCTATAAGGCACAACAATAGCAACTTTCTGCCTGGATTTACATTCTTTAGGTCTCCAATGCCCACCAGGCCACAAATCTTTATATTCTTCCTCAATTTCTTCCAATTTTAGAGAACGCATATCTACATCGATTTTGCCTTTTAGATTTGGAGGGATTTCTGGACAGAGTGTTAAATTGTCCTTGAATTAAAGTATTTAGTTAAATTCTATTTAAAATAATTAATATCAGTGCTGGTTTTATATATGTAGGAGAAACTCCAGATCTTTCCTGCTGGAGCCAGGGGTGGATCAGAGAGGACGAAGGTGCCGGAAATCTAAACTTGGATCTCGGAATTTCTCCAAAATTTCTGAAATCGGAAGGAAAAAAACATTGGAAATAGGAATTCCGATCCACCTCTGTCTGGAGCTGGAGATTGTGCTTAATTTTAAAATGCCCAGAACCAGGAACAAGCTCTTGAAAAATTTGTATTCACGGGGCCATTATAGATTGTCAAGAAATCTTCGGAGCCCTAGCTAAAATTTCAAAAAACATCAGACGTACACCCCTCCATAGTAACGCGAGCCCAATGTATCGCAGAGCTAAAACGTCGTTCAAAGTGGCTGGTCCGGGACGCCTTGTTATGGTTTGATTCAGCTCGTCAAGACGCATCGAACCATACCAAGGCGTCCCGGATTCGACCACTCTGAACGAAGTTATAGCTCTTGGCCTACTCCCGACTCAAACACAAGAAACCCCCCAAGAAACCCCCAAATATCCCTACACCAATTAAAATTCCCCACTTGTTCCACTCTCCATATTTTTGCTATTTCGATAAGTTGATCTTCATTATCTTCTTCTTTAGCTTTCAGAGTTGTTATTTTAATTGTAGTTGTACTTGTAGTTTTAATTTCAAATTTATCTTCTTCCCTAATTTTCTCCTCAATTTCTTCCTCCCTAACTTCTTCAGTAACCTTAATTTCTTCTTTTTTCTGAGGCATTTCTTCTTCAATTTTTGATTTAATTTTAATTAAATTTATTCTTGATATTCTCCTCAATCCAGACTCATTAATTAATATATAGGCTATTATTAATGCTGATATAATTATTATTAATCCTTTGATTATTGTTGCTTTACTTCGAAGGGTAATTATGGTTGCTGGATTTATTGACATTTAAGACTGGATAAATAAATAAAAAATTTTTAAAGAATAATTCACTAAAATATTATTAAGCCTAAGTTATAACAAAGTTATGAATCGCCTAGATGGACCCTGGTGTATATAAGATTAACTCATGAGTAGGGTTATTCCCCGAAGGGGGGAGGGCCACGTGGAAAATTTTCGGGGAGGCAGCGCCACGGGGGGGGGGGACGGGGAGACTTCTATGCCTACTTACTAATAATAATAACAAGATAAGACAGTAACTAACAACTTTGCTTTATCTACAAGAATATACGACTAAGACTAACACACGAACTGGCTAAAGTCTCAGCTTTTATACTAACATTAAGCACATACCCAACAAAGATAAGATAACTATAAGATACATTCTTGGAGCCAAAAAATTGTAACTTAAAATTGTTATGTACCTAGGATGGGCCCTCATGCATTTTAAAAAGCGGAAGTGGAATTTTTAAAGAGCGGAAGTGGAAAGAGTTAAAAGCAGGATCCAACGCAAAACGAAAGCGACGTAGGGCAAAATAGGGAAAAATTGCGGAGTTTCAAAAAAAGTGGAATCCGTTATATACCATATCCAATGGCCTTGTATTACAATACGATATGTAATAATAATAAGGCCTAGCAAAGAATATGTGGAAGACGAATAAGACAATAACGGGAATAAAACAATACAGACGATAACAATGAGACTTAAACAAAATAATTTAGAAGAACGGCTTTTATACTAAAAGTTAATACCCAACAATAATCAGGCAAGGCAACTTAAATGAGATATAATAAAAGCTTATAGCGTAGTTGTCATTGATAAATTTAAAAAATTATGGATTGAATTAATTCTCTATTATTACCTGAAAATGTTGAAACACCTGCCTTTTTCAAATTTAAAATTTTTAGAAAGAATAGTTGCTTATTTTTGTCGTGTTGTCAATTAAGTTAGAATGGATTTATTTAAGAGAGAATTAAAGCTGTTGCTAAATTTGGTAATTAATTTGCCTCTATCTTATACAAACGTTTCGTTAGTTTTATTCTTGGATAAAATTTTATTTCTTTAAATTAATCCAAGAAAAATATTCGAATGAATTTTGGTGGATCTACGGGAACTTTTGGCAATTGAGGTAGTACCGAGGAATACCTACCGAGGAGCGATTGGTGGGTGAAGGATTTAATCTAGAAGAAGAAGATTGAAGAAGTGGAGGATTTAACAATGGATGCGGGTTGGAATGAGGAATCAAAAAAGGGATTTGAACGAGAGCAAGTATGGCTGAACTAACCGTATTAACTGTATTAGAGACAAATGGGGCTTAATTATTAAACACATCCTCCAAAATGTTGCTTCATTAGGAGGGGGTTCTAATTCGGGTGGGGGGAGGCGGCTTTAACACTAGACTTAAACTAACACACGGCTTTAAACTCTTTTTGCGACGCTTAAAAATTATATTATAAAAATTAAACACCTGCTTTGATTTAACAAATTAAATTTAAATTAATAAATTTAAACAATTTAAATTAAACAAAATAAAAATTAAACATTGTAAATTCTTCTATACCTCTTCTATTTTAATATACCGTAAATTTTCTACTAGAAGCACATGTGCTTCTATTTTTCGATCCTCTCGTAAGGTGTGCTTATATTAGAGACTGTGCTTCAATTAGAAGATTTACAATAATAACTAGATATCGGACTGGGACCAAATCTCAAACAAAGACCATCTCCTTCGTCGTATGAGGTTTCGAATACAAATTTTAAAAAATGTTAACAAAAATACATATTATTATTTTTAAATTTATTCCTCTTCTAAAGACATAGAACTGTAGATTCCTGCCGCTCTTGAAAAATCCTTGGATATTTGGAACTAACCGAATTATACAGTTACAGAGGTCACTTTAAGATTTTCTCCATAGAAAGCCTTTAATCAAGGTACAGGACAAAAATTTTTATTTAGAATATGGCAGCAATATTATTCAAGTATTATTTTGTTCTACAAAAAATTATCAATCAAAAAAAACTTGATCAAATCTCTTAACGTTATTTTCCTAACCAGAAGTGGGAGCTCAAATAATCACTTTTATCTACTCTTCTCTAATTTTTTGGTTATGCTTTAATGAATTTTTAATTTTTAAAATATTTATTTGTTTAAAATAAGTATTTAGTTATAGTAGAAATATAAAAAATTATTTTAAAAATATTTTTGAAAAATTTCAATTAATTATTCCTTTCCTCTCTTCAAAAAAATTTTTTCTTCAATTACATGTTTTAACACACATAGCCCCAACACAAGCAGAGCTACAACCATTTTGTTGGGATTTTTTGTTTCCAACATTTTGAGGAAAAATTGATTCTCCTTGACTATTACCGCCATTACTTATTTGAACACAATCGGGGCCATTTGAATAACTTGGAACTCCATTCGTCTAAAATTTTGTTGAATTTAAGTCGAATCTTACTATAGTTTCACCTTCGAACAAAAATTATTTTTAATTATTAATTATTAAAACTATTTTAATAATCCGAGAACAAAAACCTATGGACCAGAAATCGAAAAATAATATAAAAAAAAATTTAGGGTGACTAGGTAACACTAAATTTAAATTTTGTTACAAATGCTAGTCCTCCTCATCTATTTTTGCTAATATCTCATCAAATATTATCCCTCGTTGTTTCTTGAAATAAATAAAAGTGTATATAACTCATATGGTTTTTTAAATTAATCATTAGTTCGGCGAAGGCAACAACCATGTTTATGACCGAAAATTGAATTTTAAGAACTACTAAAATTCTTTTATATCGGGAAGGGTTCTAATCAGTCAGATAAATTTCCTACATAATTAAATGAATTTATTTTTCAAGATTCAAACGATTGGAATACTTAATTGATAAGACTTTAACAAAATCTAGGGTCATTTTTAAACATAAACTAACCATTTGAAGACAACTACAATCCACTTTATAATTTAAATTAAATACAAAAATTACTAAAATTAAAAATTTTAAAAGAAAGTAGGACATATTTTAATTTTAAAAATAAAAATAGAAATAATTAAATTTAATTTTTATATTCACCACAGAGTTTTCCAACTTACTAATTATTTTTTTAAATTTTAATATTAATAATTAGAATGCAAAGAACTCTTCTTTTTTTAATTCTTATAAAATTAATTAATTAGTAAACACCTTTATTTTGTTGTTACGTATAATTAATTAATTTTTTTCGAATTTTATAAAAACCCTCGAATATATAAACTCTCCAAAATTACTCAGAAGACAACTAATTTTAATAATAAAAATTAATTTCCTTCACTTTCCTTCCAATAAATGTTTCAAAAAAATATTTTTATTTTCCTTTTCTTAACAATTTTTATTTTAAATTTATCAACATTAATTAACGGTGATTGTGTCCAAATGTGCCAAGGAAGTTCTTGTTCTCAAATTTGTAAAAAGAAAAGAGATGTGAATAAATGGGTGGATATTTGGGGGAAATTTAATAATTCGAAAAGGAGGAAGAGAAGTCTAGAATCTTCTGCTATACTTTGCCGGCTTGGAGTTTGTAAAAGTGCTAGTGCTTCTTTGGGATGAATAAAAATAAAGAGAATAATTGAATTAATTTTTTAATTAAGAGTTGAGTTAAATATATTTTTTAAATTAATTGGCAAGATTTTTCTAAAGTGTTGTTATTTTTCGATAATTTAAATAAAAATTTATAATAAATATGTAATATATTTTGGTCAATTTTTCCAAAATGAGAATATAGGCTAGAGATAAAACCGAGACGAAATCGATAATTAAAATCTTATCGAGATCGAGAGATTTTTTGCTCCTATATACATAGTCTGATCCACATAATGACAGTTTAATAATACAGCGGAATCTCGATAAGCGACACCCTCGGGAAGCTAGTACACTGCTTCCCAGCCATAGTCCCAGAGTGGGTTGATTTTAGTAAGAAGAATGCATTTTGATGAAAGAAATAAATCTTTCGAAGAGGAATAAATTAAAAATAGGTATATTTTTTTCTCCAAGATTTTTTAAATTTTAACTAAAATTGTAAAGGAATTTGAAAATTTTAAATTGTACTTTTTATTTGGAGAATTAAATTAAAATTAAATTCCAATTAAAATTTTTTGGTATGCCACATTTTGCCTTTGGTATGCCACATTTCGAGTATATTTTAAATTTTAAGCTTATTTTCCAGAAATAATTATATAATAAATTTTGTAAGGAGTAGTCTAGCAGAAAGGAATCTTATTGAATAAATGCGCTTATAGAACAAAGCGGTAACATCTATGCCTCGGCAAGCCTGAGGACCTGATCAACCCTCAGAGTTTTACCGATTAAGGTGAAAGGTATCCCGGACTTAAGTCTTACTAAATACCCCAAATGGAAAGGCCCTAGCCAGCACGCTCCAATTGGCGTGCTGTGTTTCTATTTATACACCTTCAAAAATTTAAAAAAAAATTTATTTTCGCTTATATAAAATTAATAAAAATTAAGCAGGTGCGTTTTTAGAAACATAAATGTTTATAAACTATGTAATATTTTTTTAAATAAGAAAGTATTTAATTGCATATCCTTTTTTAGAATTAAATATATTTTTTTATTTATTTTATTTTTGGTATTAATCTTTAGTATAATAGATTGTAGCGTAAAATATATCAATAAATCCTTCTTAAATATTAAAAACTACCTATGTACGATTTATAAATTTTATTTAATTCAGGGCTCCGATCGACAAAATGCCACTCAAAAGTATCAAAATCTTGATTAAAAAGTATATAGGGAGAAAATTTCCAAATTTAAAGGACACTCAAAATTAAATTAGAAAATATTTATTCGTCCTCAAATCTTTTATATTTCTCTCCTAAATGAATCTTTTCTAATAATTTCTTGTTTCAACTGAGCACTTTGTTAATTTCAATGCACCTTTAGTGGCGCCGAAGGCGCCAAAAAATCTATTTCTTGCGCCGCAGGCGAAAATTTTTTGAAATTTAGAGCCCAA